GCTTCCCTATCACTTGGAGAAAGAAGTTATCATAAATGCCTTCCAGGAACTTCCTGTCTTGTTAAGTTCTACAGTGTTGTTATCACTGTTATTCTGCAGGTAATACTATCTAAATCTGTGCTGTATATTGAACTTGTTATGCAATATGTTTAACTCTGATGACATGAACTGACTTCCATGGCTTTGGCAGTCCTTTGTGCAGGATCCACAGAACTACCCAAGATTCCTTTTGCCATGCCATCTGAGGATCTCTTTGTGTGTAGAGACTGAACTTGGGACTGGACCCTTTCTATTATGTTTTATTATGTGTGCTGTAGGATAAGAGTCCTGTTTCATTTTTAGCCATCAGAAACATGAGATAGCTTGCAAATAATACAGAAAACAGTGGGAAAAACGTTCAGGAAAAAGAAAGATTATTTTTCTGGAATCTGAAATAAAGTAACCTCCAAAGTACTTACAGATTTACTACATCCTGTAGAATTGTCTGTTGGATATATAAAATAATACTGTGACAGGCTGGTTTTGGTAGCAGTAGCCTGAGGACTCTTCTTGGAAAATTGTTATTTTTTTCTCAGAAATCTTCAATTATGATTCAAATAACTCTTTACCTAACACCAAATACATTCAAATTCCCAACTAAACACACTGAAAACAAATAAAAATAAAAATAAATAGAAATAAATAAGAGTGTTAAGTAGGACTTTGCAACCAGGCAAAATAATAGATCAGCATTATGAGAAGAAAACATTTCAGGATCTCAGCAGGCAACATCGTTGAGCTTAGACAGTGCCACACAGGCAAATCTAAGCTACGCTGGGTTAGCTGTCATGACATCCCGCATTGCCACAGAAATCTGCTGGGGTGCAATGTCTCAAGGAACACAGACAGAATTGATTAGTCAACAATGCCTACTGTCCATTTCAAAACCTTTTGCTTTCTAGAGAAAATAACTCTGGTTTTACAAAATTTGGCTTTCTTTTTCTGAATATAGAATATAATTAACTTAGAAAGTTTTCTCTGATTATTTACCAAGAATGGCTACAACACACATTTCTTTTAACAGCTATATACATTATGTTTGCACAGTGCACAGCATGATTTCAGGACCAAACTCTAGTTAAAAGCACTTAGCAGAAACTTACTTTTTCTGGGCCAGTAAGAACAAGCCTTTCTGTTTTGCAACAGCTTCCCTAGCAGTTATTTTCACAATGCCAAAGATGGGATACAGTAGTGTCTGTCTGTTCAGTGTCAGTCTGCAAGTCAACTTTCTGAAAGAACAATTAGTTGTCCATTTAAGATGTTTTGAGCTCGACTACCAGAAACCTGGGCACGTAAAAGGCATTTGTCAGTTCTAAAATAATTTTCTTTATCTGATTTTAGGCAGAAAACTTGAATGTATAGAATAATATCAGAAGAATTATTTTCAATTCCAAAGAAAATTTTAACTTTCAACTCTATAGCATTTTCCTCCAGAATATCACAGAATGTCTGTCTTGAATGAGAAAATAGGTTTAGCCTTACCAGAGGCCGAAATTAGATCTGATGACTTGATTAGAATCCTAAATACCCAGTCTATTTCTGTACACTTATATCATGTTTTCCCTTACCACCTCTGCTCAGAGCCAAAATACAAACCCTGCTGCATGTGGACACTTGGTCACGTGTTGGCATGCCAAGCTCTCAAACAAATGCCAGTGAACGAGGAATTGCTTCTTTCCACAGTGGGGAAAAAAACTGTGTTATGGAAACATGGACGCTTCACAAATGAGAAAAATAATGTGTCTTCAATGAATTCAGTTGCAAGGAGGAGAAAAGGTCCACGCAATAGTAAATATTTCTCATATTATTGTGTTAAGTTGCAAGATAATATTTAAGTACTGTCTGCCAGAGTAAAAGAGGAATGCCATACTGTTGCATGGCTGCCTAGTTTTCATAAATAGGCTGTTTCTAAAGTACCGTAACTACAACTGCCATGGTCCTCACAGAAACGAAGTTGTCCCTCTATGTTTATGTCTTTCATATCTTCCTTAAACTAAACATTTTCTATTTATTTGAGCTAGTGTCACACTTTCGGAGACAGACCAGTGACAAAACACACTGAGTCCATGCAGCAGCAGTTCACTTTATTCAGATCTTGCTCCCTTATATACCTTAGGGGCCCATGAGGTCAATCCTCATTGGCTGAGCCAGTTACTTCCTGGTCAGCCAGCCAATAGAAGCCTGAGTTTCCAACAGCCTGGGCCTGCTCTTACTGGCCGAATTATATAAGTAAGGTAATGATGTAACTGATCACATATTTCCCTTACAATTTTATAATTATTTATACTTTGAGGCCTGCAGGCCAGCTGTAGGCCACCACAAGCTAGTAGCTTTGGGTTTATGTCATGCAGCAGATGTAATCCAGGCTCTAATTATGTCTAGACTTAGTTCAAATGCTCACAACCTGTTTCCTTGGAAATATGAAGAGGATCCCGCGGAGAGCCAGTTGAGTAACGACAATCACACTGATACGGTTACATATCGTTCTCCCTTTATTGCCTGAACAATGCTCTGTTTATACACATTTCCCTTGCGCATGTGGCAGCCAACTATCTACGACTGGTTGCACAGCCTTGATCACGCGTCTGCTACTCTATTTCATTGGTAAGCGTCAAGGCACCGCATGATTGGGTACAGCCCTTTTCGTGGTTAATGCATCCGCTCTAACATCCATCTTGCAACAGCGCAACATTTCCTCTTTCTGGGCCTTCAAGGTGACCCCAAGGACATCAGTCCTTTGTTAGGTTAAGGCTGGCTTGTCCAATCCCTCTAGGGGCAACCCATGCCCCTGATCAATGAGGAATTCCTCTACAGAAATAGATGACAAGAATATACTAATGTACTATCTTGTTCATTGTCCTCCATGCTTTGTATCTTTAGTGCAAAATTGTACTGAAGTTTCTTGCAGAACTAGGATCAATTCTCACCAGTATTTTGTCAGGGAAAAGAAGTCATATGAGTTTATACTCATGGAAAATTGATATCCTCAAAAATCTCACTGTTCACTTTGGGACTAAAGTTTTCACAGAAATCAGTATCAAACCATTGCCCTGTATGGATATCAAATCTCATTTGAACTCTAAATTATATATGTAGTATAAAACCACTCAGTTTCTTTCTGTCCCTACACAGAAATCTGAAATAATCCTTGAAGTAAAAATAGCAAAGTGACTAGTGCCCACAAGAAAATACATGACCTGAGTACATTGATGAAAATGTTGTCTAAGTGCACTGTCAACCCCAGACTGCCCATGACCAAGCAGATCCCACAGGACATGATGGTATTTAGCTTCTTGCAATTTTCTTTTTACTCTCCCAATTCTTAGGGTAACTCTTACCCTAATTCTAATGCCACTATCTACCCTAATATAAAGCACAGGATACTGGCTCTCAACACAGTGCTGAACACTGCTCAAGGTCAGTGAGAGCTGGGACTGAGGATTTAGTGCCCACCTGAGACTCACAGCCTTCCACACTCAGGACAACCCCATTCCAATCGCTAAACCACTTGACACAGGGGTTCACACAAATGCATGCCTTCAGTGCCGTCCAAGTCCAGCCCTTACTCCAGCTATGCCTACTGTTGTCTCTTCACAGCTGGCCAGAGCTCTCCTATCCCTCAATAATATCCCCTGTGCCAAATGGGAAGTTTCTGTGCAGCTGACTGAAAAATGACTTTCCTAAAGGATAAGGCACTAGGTCTTCCGTTCAGACACCATCACCCTCTTCCCCAAACCAACCCTCTTCCCTACTCTACTCAGAGGTGCAGAGAGGTGTGGGTGTTGGCCTGCATGGATGCCAACCCTCACAACATCCCATGGACCATTCCTGTTAGCACAAAGAGGGACAACAGCTATGCCTGGGTCCTCTCCTCTAATTGTTTTAAAGAGGCAGTCATGCCATCTTAGACTCATTCTTTTGTGATTATTTCCTCAGACTACTTCTTCTTCTAAAAAATCTTCAGCTTCTGCTTATTTTGGATACCACTTTACAGTGAGAGATGCCTTCACTGATTTGGATCTTCAGATTTGATGTCTGCAGTCAGCAGCAAACGGTATCTGTGTAGTGCTCCCTCCAGATATTGACTAACTGGGCAGAAAGCTGACAGTCTTGATCTGGGAGCTAACACAAAGTCCAGGGTGGAGAGTGAAAAACCTTCAAAGAATTTTGTTTAGCTTAGAGCTAGCAACTTGCTACAGAACAAATAATTTAAGCAATTCCTTGAATGGCCTTAGGGACATTTTCCATGAAATTTTCCTGTCTGGAGTGAAGCAGGGGCCTGTATCTGACGCTCTGCTGAGTACCCAGTTTCAGAATTTAGGCTAATGTAGATAACACAGTTACACCTGTAAAACATCTAGGGAGTTTCTAAACATATATATATGTCACTGAGTCATGGAAAAACACTGTTCATCCTCATAGCTAGAGCATCTATCCAAAATCTGAAGGAATAAGGAAAACAAAGATGCTTTGACCAGAAAAAAAAAAAAAAACCAGAAGGCTTGCGTGCCCTGCTAGGAATAAAGTGTACAGCAACTTACAACCCATGTCTCATCTTTTGACTAGTCTTGAGTATGGATATTAAGTCCACTTTTCCTACCCCTCTCCAATACCAAAAAACCCAGCAAGATCATCCCTCCTCAGCCATTAGCTATGAGGTGCTTTAGCATAATAGCAACAGCTAATCACAGTCCTATATATGGTGGTATGAATGCTAAAAAGGCCTTGATAGGACCTCTCTGTGGGACACCCATCCTAGGAGTCTACACTGTATGGACACGGGTAGGATGGCTCAGTGAAGCAACCTAACATGTCATACATGTCTGGGAAGCTCACAAGAGGTCTGACAGAACATGGTGGCCCCTACAACTGACTAAAATAGTAGGAGGCTCTTTTCATTGAGATCCTGCATAAAGCAACATTCAATCAATTAAAAATTTCCATGCAGAGCTCCATCTTACCTTTCTAATGTTTTCTTACTACATCTGGAGAAGAGACAGACAGTTCCAAGGTTAAGTGTCCCTCGCTTCCCTCCTGATCACAGAGTGCACTCAGATGTTGGTCCTCACACAGGGGAATTATCAGTTCCTCCTCCTTTCCTCCACGCAGGTTGCTGGCACCAGATCTCCCTGATGGTCTCTCTCAATTCAGATATTCCATGTTTCCTCTACCAGTCCATGAGCAATTGCGGACATGACATTGGCAGAGCACTTTTAAAACAGAAGTATTGCTTATTTTATCCAGAAAGAACAAAGCACACAGAGAAAAGTATTTCAAAACAAGAATATGAATGTCTGGTTTATTTTTTCTTGCTAAAAACTGGCCACTGACTTCCTCAAGTTACACAGACATAAAAAAAAAATTCAACTCATAGAATTAATCTATGCATAATGTAGGAAACTGAACAAAGGGCAAATCAGACAAAAAAAAAATACTTCCCTAGAAGTCTTTAGAAATTATTGAAAAATTAAAATAGGAACCTTAAACCTGACTTTTTCCTTTCAGTGTGACTTTGCTATCTTCAATCTTACAGAGAGAGGTTTGATCCAGTTCCCACTTAAAACTACAGCTGAAATGACTGGAAACATATAACTGAATGCAGCGGGCATTGGATTAGGACTTCATTCACAGTCATTCACACACTATCCAGTAACCGGAAATAACACATGTACAACTTCCCTCTGGCTGAGAAGTTAACCCATCACTTCAAGGATGTCCCAGCAATCCCCTCTAGTATCTCACACTGCAGTAGCTATGCATAGTACTTAATATGTGCAGCTGGCAATAAGATTTCCCACCATCCTGCTGAATCATCCATTTAACTCATACAACTCATGAGTTACTAACTGAACTCTGAGTACAGAAAACTACAGCCAGCTCTTCAGCAATGCAGTAATTAGTGAGCAAACCAAGCCTGTCCTTTCCCGTAAACAACCTCTCCCTAATGTATTTTCAGACACAGCTGTCCCATGCCCAAATACTTTAAAAACCATTTGAAAATCTGGGTTGCACCCTACTGAAGACAGCCCAGTTTCCCAGTCATGACACAGAACAGACCTGTTCTGCAAGCACAAAGGCTTTCTTTTAGGACAAATCAAGGTTATGTACAAATACAAACAGCAGTTGGGATCAGACAGTCCATACTCTTCTACTAGAACAGGGAAAAACATCCTTTTGACCATGCAAACAGTAAAAAGTGTATCAGCCTAAAATTAGATTTTAAAAAATGCAAATGTTAATAAATTTCTTAATTAAAAAAAATAATAAGAATAAGGCAATTGCATATCTCAATGCTAGTTGTGTTGCTCAATGCAGTTCTGGAAAACATGTTCATTAAAATGAAAAGAGTGAGCTAGGACAGGACCAGACAGGGTCCCTTTCCAAAGGGAGCCGTGGATAAAATAATTCAACTCAAGTGATTAAAGGGGAACTGTTAGGGGATATTTACATTGAGGAAAGCAATGCTATTCTGGCTCTGGTCTGGGTCCTCTTCAGCATTTCCCAGCATCCAGCACACTCAGGCAATATCTGTGTCATAGGGCATACCCAGTGTCATGCTACTGCCTTTTTGGTCCCTTATCAAGATGACATGGGACACTTAAAATACCACCCTCAGACAACTGTGGTAACTGGCACGCTGACTCAGGACAACTGTGAGATGCTCTTAAGGAGAGCTAAAAGGTCATTTGCACAGCTCATGCACTTAAAATGTTAGCTGCTACGTGGTGCTGTAATGCCAGCAACAGTGACGTTAAGGCACTTGCCATATCCTGCAAGCTGATCAATACCAGTACAAATTTCATAAAGCTGCCAGGAGCTTAGATTATGTTAACACAAACAGCAAAGAAAGAACAGCCAGAAAAGATACTGAGAAGTAGGAAAGATAGCAAGGCACACAGCCCTTATGACTGCCCTGAGAAAAGAATCAGAACAAACAGCTTTGGATGATCTGCACATGTACATCTATTCCTTTGAAATGCTGCGATATGTTTCTTTACCATAGAGGGGGACGTTAATGGAAGAGGTAGTGAATGGACGGAAATAACATGAAGTGATTTATGTTCAGGTGAGAGTGGGGACTCACAACTCCCTCGAGCAGTTGCATTTAGTCTCTAAAGTATATAAATTACACACTTGGGAAACTGCAAGTTGCAGGCTGTAGTCTTGTTTTATTTGGCTGTCCTGACTTTAACTGGGGTTCAATAGATCCAATTTTTCAATTTCAGACCATTAGAGAGAAGAAGGAAAGGAGGTTGTAATTTTTTTGTCTTTACTACCTTGTGATCTTTTCAGCACATAAAGGTCACGTACAGCAGATGTCAATAATCACACTCTTTACAGTTTCCTTAAAGTTCATAATTTTACAGAACTATTTCACAGGTTACTAAACCAAACCAAATTACTTCTCAGCAAGAGTGAATTGGTGCCTTTCCTATATAATTTTATGAGTCCCCTCTGGGTCTTCTCTAGTCCAAGGATTTGAGCATTTGGCATGAGATTTGAAACATGAACTGACTGTAAAGGACCAGAATTACCTGGATGTTTCAAAAATACAATATCAGATATTTTTCTCCAGGAATGGTTAAATAGAGGCACCCTTTTTATTTGAAAGAGAAAAATATTGGAGTCAAAATGCTCTTTGAGTGACTTCAGATGGAAATTTATCCCATGTTTTCAACAGTACAGTTTAATTCAGCACGTTGGTCACGCCTACCACCTAATTTCTAAAGGTGCTATGGGTTCATAACTCTGACTGAAATCTCTCAGACCTGCAAGGTCTTGCAGCCTTTATTTAGCAGCCAGAAGTGCTCACGCAAAACTAGAGACTGCTTCTCAAATGCAGTCCAACATTTTTTTGAGTCTTTCTCATGGAAAGGGCAAATAATACCATATCAACTTACTGTATTTCACAAAAAGAGGGGGAATTTAATGAAGGTTTGACTAAGGGGAATGTGATAAAATGTCTTTATTTGTTCAATTTTACTAAATTGCTGGTTTTTTCCTCCAAGGCCTTGAAGAAGGTAATTTTCAGCAAAAATTACATCCTAACTAGGATTCTTGGCATTGATTTGATTTGACTTCTTTTAACTGAAATGCTTAGAATTTAAAAACTGTTTCCATACATGAGAGGTGATAAGCATGTACATCATTTGATGTGCATGCTGTAAGCCCAAAATACCAATAAACACAGATACACTCATTTACTTCAGCATGGCATCACTCCTGTGCAATATCCCTTGCAGTATCTTACACCAATTAAATCCCACATTGCTTCTTTAATAATATTCTTATCTCTCTTTCCTAAGGATCAGCATATAGGCAGCTGCAAATAAGGAACTGGTTTTCAGGATTCCATGTAGCATATCTGGAACAAAAAGCAGAAGGAAAACTGTCCAATGCCCAGCACAGGGGAAAGCACTGCCCTGCCTCTCAGCACCTGCTGAAAGCTAGCAAGGGCTCTTGTGGTGATTACCAAGTTTCCTCTTGTCTAGAGTATCTTCAAGATTGTTTACCTTGGATTTATCTCTTGATCTGAATATTGAAATTTCAAAACATTTCTCCAATACTGTTGAAACAGAGAATAAGGAGCTTGTATTTCTTTCTGGGAACGAGGAAATGCCCAAATATTCAACTTTACTTAAATACATATTAATTATGAGTATCCACAAAATGGAAGGCTTAACAACTCTCACTTCAACAGTAGTTGTGTGAGTCTGCAAGAAGAAATTACACTGCTTCTTATAAGGTGTAAAAGGAGATCTTACACATTTTAGTGAATCTGGTTTTCAGCAGTGAAAATATGTCTTAATATATTTTTTTCAAACTTTTAAATTCAATTAGTTTCACAACAGACAAAGATATTTTTCATCTCTGTTTCAGACTGTGTCCTCCAGTGAGTATGTTAAAATACTTTCTTTCAAAGGGGGCTTTTTGAAACCAATGCCTGCAAACTAACTGCTGATTATTTGTACCCAGATATTATGCCCCAGATAATAGGGAATCGAGACTTGTATTTGCAGATATTCTAAACTGTTAAATAGGTAAATATTTCAGTAATTTCTTCCTTCAGTATTTTTTGATATCTAGGGGTCTTTTCCCATATAAAACCAAAATGTATGTTCACGAATGCCTGCATATAAATGTAACTACCAGAGTAAATTTAGAATATTGGTGTAATTTCAGTAAATTAAACAAAGACATATTAAACTAGTGTGGGTTTTTATGTCACTTTAGGTAGATAGAAATCTTGGAAATCAAGTACCACCATAGTTCTGATGATTTTGTTATTTTCATTTCAGTGACTATTAGATAAGGACTAAATTGAAAATAGAGTTTGAAAATACCAAAGTGGATAGAGTAATAAATAATATTAAAATAATTACAATAACAAGAAAACATGCTTAATGCTGCATAGCAGAACTGCAGATTTTGCCTAATATACCACGAGATTTTGCCACAATAAATGGAGAGAGTGAGAGTTCCATTGCTTAAACTCTTGTCAATGTTCCAGCAATGTTGTATTGACAATTTACCCATTATCTGTTAGTTATGACATAAAAATATTTTGCACTTCCTCAGACCCAAAGGCAAAGCATTTTAATTGTGCAGTGCAACATTTTAAATTGTACTGTCTCTTTATCAGGAATATTTTAATACACAAGCTACATTTTCATATTTAATTGCAGTTATCACACCTTAGCCTGTGGCTATACTTTTAATCAAGTAAGAAAACTCCCACAGACCTACTGTGTAGCCAACCCCTGTAGAGTATGTTATGGAAACTCAGTGTTTATGAGAACAACTGATTAGTATCTGTGAATTCACACTTCAGGGATAGTAGTCAGGATGTTGCAAACAAAAAACAAACTTCCCTTGAGTAATCCTAAGCACTAAGGAGAGTGCTTAGGAATTCAAAAGATACCATGAGCCTTTTGAAAGAGTGGCCAGGTAACACCACAGAGAGCCCTTTTCTAGATGATGTCTTGGCTTACTATTTCCTAGACTAAACTTCTCATTCAAGTTCAGATGATGTGGACACTAAAATTCAAATCTGATGAAGGAAATGCTGAGAGGGAACAACTGGGAATGGTTGCTAATATCACCCTCAGACAACATAACCTGGAGTAAGTTTCAGGCTCCAGTTTGGAGCCGAAACTCAAGCCACCACATCCACTTTACCAACGGTCCTGCTACAGTCAACAGTATCAAGCACATCTGATAGAAAACTTAGCAAAAACATTTGCTCTTCACCCAGAGTAATCTACTCCGAAAAAAAAACCCCACTATGTGTACCAGTTCAAAGCCCCTGACCCATGTAAGGGTTACAGGCGAAGCTAGAACTTCTTCTTCTCAGGGTGAGGTGTCAAATGTCTAATCCAAAGCTTTTAATTTAAAATATCCTGTTCCACTAACCCCATTTCCATATTCCTACAGAAAAACCATAACTGTTCAGATGAAACATATTTAGACCTTAAAAGATGTATTCTTTTGGTAACATTAACTTTTTCCCTGACTTTTCACAAGATGTCCACTTTTTCCCAGCTGATTTTCTCCAGAGCAGGGCTGTTCACAGTAAAGGCAGCCATGGCCCAAAGTGGCAGCTGTCCTGATGATACCTTTCCTCTTTATTTTCCTCTGCATCTGCAGCTCTCATGGAGGATGCCACATGCTTTTCCACAAGAACTGCTATGGTAGTCAGCTGAGGCCGGAAAAGGACATTATTTTGTGTCTAGCTATGTACTTTAGATCAGTGCCAGCCCACTCTGAAAGTCTACCTTTATTTCCTCTGCAATGGTGTACTTGGCTGAAGATTACTATTCCCCTACTTAGTAAGCAGCCTCCTGAATTGTGACAAGCATTTCAAGATAAACACTTTTGAGTCCTACTTTTATCACAGTTTGAGTCCTAGCTTTATTTCCTGAATTGTACAGCTATACTCCAAAACAGTTTTTTCCCCTTGGCTATCCCTACACTCCTAGTTTAAACACCCACAGTTAATCTCGTGCAAGCCTCTAGCTATCTTTTGGAAAAGCAATTTTGAAACCAGCAATCCAGTTTCATTTTCCATGATTTTAAAGGAGGTAACAGATAATTTCAGACATGGGTAACAAAGGCAGGGAATGAGGAAAAAGGGTGTCTCCTGTTCAGGGCTGCTGAGTTGCCATGTTTACAGCTCCAAGCAGGCTGCTGACCAGCCACAGCTCCATCTGTAAAATGATCCAGCTACTGTACTCTTGACTTTTGCAAGTTATGAGCAGCCACAGGAGATTGTGTAAGCGCTGGAGCAGCTGCAGAACCTTTCCCTCACTGAACTACTGAGGAGGCATGCCAGCTTGTTTGTGTGCTCCTCCACAACCTTTCACCTACTTTGGCTGTTTTGGCTGTACCGGGAACCCCTAGCAGCTTGACAGCTTGTGCAGCCGCAGTGTCGGGTGACAGAAAGATGAGAACGGGAAGATATGACCCTTGTTTGTAATGCTATTTCTGTCTTTTTTTCCATGTAAAGGGCCACATAAATATTTAGAAAACAAATATATTAGTAGGTTAAAGTATCAATCCAATTCCATAAATGCAGACCCATCTGTAGGTGGAGGGCAAGTGATTTGCTCTTGGTACTGCTGGAAATTTCATGAGGTGCTGTGAATATAACTCACACACTTGTCACCAGACTGCTCTGCTTACTTTCAAAACTTCCTAGTGCTACCATTAATTTCCACCCAGACTTACTGCTCCTCCTGAGTTATCATTTACCCTTCCTTACAGAAGCTGAATGAAAAGTTGCCTTTGTCCCTAGCAGAAAATGTTAGTCTGGTTCCATAAGAGAAAAAACTGACGTTGCCTGTCCACCTGTTTGCCAAACCATCCCTCCTAAGCATTTTAACCAAATTTGAATAGATAATCAACTCCATACAAACTGTGTACAAACTAGCAAGTGGTTTAGGGAGGAGAGATTAGAATTTTGCTACACACTGGATAAAAGGGAGGGGAAACTCAACCAGACTCATTCTACTAGAGAGTAGCCCCATCAGTAGTCATCCCACATAGTCTGGTTGGTCAAGAGAGGGCACTCATCCCAGCACATCTTATTAGGTCTCCAGCACTTGCTGGGTTAGGAAAAAGATCCTTGCATTTTTGTCTGTCCCAACAGAGAAAAAGGAAGGGCAAAAGCAACCATGATACCTTCTATTAGACTTCAGCAACATGGTCAGTTACTACACAGGCTGCCTGACCAGGAACACGGCTCTGACCTCAGTACAGCACGTTGTGTCTCTGGCTGGGGTGAGGACAAGAAACATGAGGTGAGAGACAGCTGATTGCAATGGAGAGCTATTAGGAGACAAATGGACAGGAATCCAGGCTTCATTCATTCCACTCTTCTGGACCCATCTGTTGTGGAAAAAAGCAGAATGTTAATGCAGCTCCATTTTCTTAAGCATAGTCAGCAAAACATTACTGTGACCAAGCAACTGCAAGTGTTGTTACTGCCTTTTCAAAACTTGCCCCAGGGCAATTCAGAAGAGGAAAGTTAAAATATCTAAACAGCAGAAATGAGACCCTCTCTGATGAATACTCCAGTTCAGAATTCGGCATTGTCCTTCATAGCCATTGTTCTCTGACACCTGCACTTAAAACTGTCACGTGTTTCAGAAGGAGGGCAAGATGGTGGTTGGAGAGGAAATAAAGTGAGAACACTGCTAAAGATAGGAGAGATGGAGGCATTATATGACGTGGTTACAATTTTCACAGCCTAGCTCACCTGCATCTTGGCGGATGATGAATCCTCATATATTGTTGCATTTGTGCCTAAAACTTAGCTGTCTTGCTCAACATTCAGAAGATCCATAAGAATTACTTCACAGATATATAGTTTAGATGTGCAAGAATATAAATTAATGTTGTTCAGAACCTCCTGTAACATATAACCATCATACAAAGAGCAAGAAGCAAATCTGAATTATGAAGAAGACATGCTTCTTTTAGAAGATCATCTGAGTTAAGAAAAACCTCAGTTGTTGTGCTGCTGATGTGTAAAATTCTTGTAGAAGTTTGTTTTGATTTGAAAAACACCCAGGATTTGAGTTACTGGAGCCTTGTCCTTTTAACAAATGGGGAAGGCAACACGCTTCCTGTATTTCCTGCAACTACAATTTTACCTTTGTTCACAGCTAAATTGAGTATGTAAGATATTTGTTCATACCTTACTGCATATAACTACTAGGAAACCAATAAGAAAACAAGTTGCTGTAAAGAAAATTAATGCAAACAACAAAAATTGTCCTTAGTAGACTATTTCCCTATTCAGACTGCTCACAAAGGATATTCCAGTTACTTATATTAAGCAGGCTCAGCACACCAACAGATTAAATAAAACATCTCATAGGAATAGAAATAATGACTTTATAAACTGCAATAACTGCCTACTTCAGAGAACTTCCTGACCCAGATTTTATTGCAAAGAGTTAATTGTGAGGTTCCTGCTTGTCACCGATTAGTGGCTTAAGGAAGAAAGTGGAACTAAACAAAAGCTATCCTGCATGTTTCATGGTTTAAACAAATTTGTATGATATTTTCATTTCTGTGACTCATCTGCAACTTGCAGTCAAACCAAGTTTAAACAGTCAAAAGCAAATCTCAAATTTTTAAATTTTTAACTGCCGTAAAGAACAGGAAAAAATCAAAGTCATTACATTTGCTGCTATTTGATGTCTAAATTTTGCTTCATTTCACATTTCATATGCCAACATTTGATCACTGTGGTAAGCCAGAATATATCTCATGGAAAAATAACAGAATAACTCTCCCAATAAAATAATAAAACAGGGAGCAATAAAATAATAAAACATAAAGTACAGCAGGAGTAGAGCCATAAGTAGGGATAACAGATATACTAGGAAGACAAAAATGAGATAAAGTTAAAAAAAAAGTCTAATGACAAGCTAAAGTATTTTTCTCTGTCTGTTAAACTATGTGCACAGCTTTCTTGTGAGGAATTTGATCTTCCTTCCCCTGAAAAGAGTTTACATGTTTGTGTGTCTAAATATGTGCATATAAAATTGGACTGGAGAGTTGTATGGAAATATTAGGGCATATTTTGCATTATTTTACTGCCACATGCTTCTGCTGTTACAGACCAAGTTTTCAGATGTCAGAAAGCCCTCCGCTGACATTAATTCCATTCTTCAGTGGCTTATGCAAACCCTGCCCTCAGTAAAGTGGACTGGGCATGCTGGGAAAAGGCCAGGCAGCACTGGAGATCCAAGCTCCTTCCCCAGCAAAGAGGAAAGGTGAGGGGGCTTTTCCCAGCTCGACTGTGACCCTGGGAGATGAGCTGTCCCTGAGAGCCCTGTGTCAGCCCCTTCTTAGGTCAGCTCTAGTGACAGTAAATAAAGGCCACATGCTGATCGGGGGCCAGTGCGTCACCAGCACAGCTGTCCTCGGGTATTTGGCCACTATTAACCAGGTCACAGCCATGACCTACATGTCAGCAGCCCGCGGCTGGGACCTGATTTTGCTCCCTTTGCCGTCCACGCAGTCGGCCATGCTCTGTGCCGGCCCTGGAGCTACCCGTCAGTACCGGCACTGCCAGCACCCCCCGTATGAGTGCAAACACACAACTGCCCCGGGCACCATCGCGCCCCTCATGCCGGGCCATGGCGCCGTGCACCGCTTCCCCCCGAGCCCCGGCGCCCACGGCGTGTCTGTGCACAGCCCGCACAGGGCCGGAGCCTCCGCAGCCCGTGAGGGGCGGGAGCAGCACGGCGCCCTCGCAGCTGGGCACGGCCGCCCTGCCAGCCTCGCCCGGCCCCTGCCCCGTGCACAAGGTCACCGCGGGAGGCGCAGCAGCAGCACCCGCCGCTCTGTGCGCCTTGGCCCCGGGCTGTGTCCTGGCCCCGCGGCTGTGTCCTGGCCCCGCGGCTGCTCCCCGTGCCGCTGGCGCGGTGCCCGCCAGGCCAGGACGGGCACGGGGAACGCCGCCAGCGCTGTCACGAGGGGCCCGGGAGGGGCGCGGCCTGGCGGAGCGCCGCCCCCCTGCGATTGTAAATAGAGGCGCCACGTGAGGCCACCCGCCACAGGCGAGGGGACGGTGACAGTCCCGGAGCCCGCGGAGCACTCGCTCTCTCAGCGATCGCTTACCTGCCACGCACCCGCCGGCCCGGCAGCGATGAAGGCCGCCCGGATCGCCCTCCGCAACGCCGCCCCGCTGGCAGGGGCCAGTGCCGGCAGCAGCAGCGGCCGGTTGCCACAGGAGGTGGAGCAGTTTTCCCGCTTCTCCCCCTCCCCGCTCTCCATCAAGCAGTTGTTGGACTTCGGTGAGAGTCGGGAGGAGCGGGGGCAAGTCAGGGCTGCGGGGCAGCCCAGGCTCGGAGGCTCGTTTCCCCATGGAGGAGCGAGCCCGGGGGCTGCCGCGGGGAGGGTGCGGGAGCGGCGCTGTGCGGGACAGAGCAGGCGGCGATCCCCGCCCGGAGGGTCGCGCTCAGCCAGCGCTGAAGTCACTGCCGCCCCCCGGCTCGGCTGCCCAGAGCTAGAGTGGAGGAGGGGAACGGGCCCGCCGGGTATTCCCAGCCCCGCTGGGAATCTTCCGGCCCCGGCGTGGCGGCGGTGGCGGGGAGTTCGTCTCGGGCGGGCACCCCCGGCCGCAGTTACCCGCCGGCCAGGTGCCAGGGGCTGGAGACCTGTGGGTGCCACCGTCAGAGCTGAAGATGCGCTACAACAACACTGCTTCGGCGGTGTTCGTAGGGCGCGGGCGCTGAGAGGGACGTGGGCTGCGGGGCGGGTTCTGCTCCGCGCACACGGAGGCGGGAGGAGCCATCGGGCGGAGCGAACGCGCAGTTCCCACATCCCGTTATCGCTTCGGCAGCTCTGGCGGCTGTGCGCACATGATAGCACCAGACGTCACCCCGAACAACCTCCTGTTTACAGGGGCCGGAGTGCTTCTTAGGGGATTGCAGTTAAGTCTCATGGCTAAATGGGAACTGTAAAAGTATTCCGTCCAGGAGCACGCTGTGTCTTACTGTCATGTAAACAGCGTTCTGCATAAACATGTAACACCTAAGTGAGCTGGCCGGTAAAAGCCTCATGATTGTAGAGAAACAGAGTCCTGAAATTTATGGGAAGTCATCAATCTGTATTTTCATCTTGAAACTTCCTCAAACAAAAACTGTATTTTGGATTTATTCATAGGCTCAACTAATGGATGCGAGAGAACTTCTTTTGCATTTTTGCGACAAGAACTTCCTGTGAGGTTTGCAAATATCTTGAAAGAAATTGATCTTCTTCCTGATAAATTACTAGGCACTCCATCAGTAAAATTAGTAAGAAGCTGGTAAGTATGAACTGCTTCAATTCAGCATGCAAAGTTACACAGCTTTGAGAACTTTGTTGTTACAGCCTTTTTTAGTAAAAAGTATAAGAAAGTATAACAAGTATAAACAAAGTAGACAAGTATAATAAGTATATAACAAAGTATAACAAGTAGAAATGCAGTTCCTTCATCAAATCTGAGTTGCAAGCTGTTACACACTGTCCTTTTCTAGCACACTAAAATTAAATTGAAAATCAATATGATTATATTGCTATCTTTAAATAGGTGTGGGGGGCGGGGAGTTAACAGTTTGAAATAGCTAATAGAGAAGGGAGAAAAGAAAACGTGTTCTGTTTCCACACAGCATTCCACACAGACTCTGAGACCCACACAAAATGGGAAAGCAGGCTATGTACTTGTTTTGATCTCCCACTGATGGAGTCACTAACAGAGCTTCTATTCCAAAGTATATTGTCTTGACCTGTGCAGCAAGTGTTTGAAATTCAATTAACATAATCTCTGCAGCTGACACAGTGGTTGAATCTGATTTAACCTTGTTTACTGGCACAGTTGCAGCATTTGCCAGGATGGCTGACATAAAGAGCAGAAGTATTAGAGTCAGGTCTAGAAACTCTTCTTAATATAGCAAACTGTTGTGCCTTTGCTGTATGCGTCAAGGCTGTCAGATGTTAGTGCAAGCAGCTCAGCTACTTAGCTTCTTAGCTTCTGCCAAAGCTGATCAGATTTGGAAAAATGTTCCTTAAGTGGCTTCCTGATTGGCATTGTCATTTGGATCTTCTTTTGAAATACATCTCTTCCAAAGAATTATAAGGGCATCACATGTACCTTAACTGAGGGCTTAGATTCCTCTCTGGTGGCAGGCACAAGAAAAGACTTAAAACTTCTGGAGTTCAGGCAGTCAAGAAGTGTCCATCTGTCATTCCATTGTTGGTTGTAACTTGGATATTTTAAAGATACTTAAAACTCCCAGATGACTTGTTAGGACTAATGATATGCACAAGACAAAGTATTTTTGATATTGCTAGAATAATAAAAATCAAATTGATAGCATATATTTCTTGTCTTCTTTTTCAATAGGTACATCCAAAGCCTAAAGGAGTTGATTGAATTTCATCAGAAAAGCCCAGATGACCAAAAAGTCTTATCTGAGTAAGCTTTTCATGTTTTTCTTTGAACTTTTTAGTTCTCCTTCTACTTTTCACAGTATAGTCACTTTAGACTGACAGCCATGATGAGCTGAATTTGATAATCTAGCAGGAAGAGCTGAACATAGAACAAGCTGGTCGACACCTCTGACCATGTTTAGCAGTATTGCAAATAATTATGACCTGTAACAGCCTAATTTTAAGGTCATATTGCTCCTTGAACATTCAGAGATATAAAAAAAAAAAAAAAAAATCTGTGTAGTCATATCTCTGCTTTTATCCAAGATGTCAGCTTGGGATCTTTTTTCTTTCCTTTTCTTCTGCTCAAATAAATGAGTAAACAAGTTGTGAATTTGATATGGCTCATTATACCTTTTGTTTTAAAAATGCCAAATACTTCTGTGTTAGGTCAATGAGGAATTACTTTTAAAAGAGTTTAAAAAAAAAAAACCACACTGTATTTTAGTATTAAGGCTGTTAAGCACTTATCTGTGCTGGTGCTAGATTAGATAATTACATTATAAAAGCTTGCTTCTGTGGAGTCTGAGAATAATGTTCTAAAAAGATTTCTTGTTTTTAAACCTAGCTTTATAGATACTCTAATTAGAGTCCGAAACAGACATCATGATGTGGTTCCTACAATGGCACAAGGTGTAATTGAATACAAAGACACTTTTAAAGTAGATCCTGTCACCAATCAAAACATCCAGTATTTTTTGGATCGTTTTTACATGAGCCGTATTTCCACCCGGATGCTAATGAACCAACACAGTAAGTAGAAATTTTTAGCTGAGGAAAAACTTCAATCTAATTAGTAACATGTTAATGTAAACATTTCTTAAAACTGCTGGAGAACTACTTTACATGATTTTGTGTGACACTGAAAAGTTAGAAACTGAATCTGTCACTTAAAGTAATGGGAAAACTTTAAGTGAGAGACAACAAAACAATTGAAATAACTCTTTTATGGAATATGTAGGGATATCATTCTTTATGTCTGAAAAGCCTTTAGATGTGAGCTACAGAAAAGCCAACATAGTTTGCTGACAGTAGATAGCGTTTTAACTCATAAAAGGCATAAACAACATTCAGTATTTTCTGTAATTATATGTTGCCATCACACTGCATTAGTCTCAGTTTTGGGGCTTTTTTATAAAACACTATTTGGGATTAAATGTTCTGTTGTTCTTATGTCAAACAGCTCTTCTTTTTGATGATAAATCTGGCTCGGGGCACCCAAGGCACATTGGAAGTATTGATCCTTGCTGTGATGTTGTCGAAGTAGTGAATGGTGTGTATTCTCAGAGCTTTAACATTTCTCTTCCTGATCAGTATCTATATCTGATTGCAAGCAGTTTGGGTAACCAGCTTCAGTTGTAGAGGGTGCTGATTGGCTTTAATTGAAATAGCTGAAAGCAGTCTTATCGAGGCATGAGCTTTTAGAGGACAGAATTTAAAATACAAAGTAGCAGTAAAAAAACATGTTGGAGTAAATCCTAGCAAGTGACAGATGAGGTAGGAGTTGAAGTTGTCTGAGGTGTTGAGATTGGTTTTACCTACTGGTAGGTAGCAGATTCATCAGTTCCATACAGCTTCTGTAACTACCCATTGTTCTCAATTTTTAGTGCACACAGTGGATGCAATATTATCATTCCCTTGTGACATAATCCAGTCTTAGACTGTTGAACACCTTAGCAGCTAAGGCAGTTAAAAGATGCATTCTGCCATGCATTAGAATGAATTTTTACATTGTTTGATATTATACTTTATATAATTTATTAAAATAATTTTTTCAGATGCTTATGAAAGTGCCAAGATGCTGTGTGACCAGTATTACTTGACATCTCCTGAACTGAAACTTACTCAAGTGAACGGTAAGATAAGAGCCTATCGATAGCCAAAACTGCTTCTTCTACTGAGTCAAAAGTCTCCCAATTCTGTAACCTTAGTGCACATACCAGTTGATCTGGCTTGGGCTAGTTCCTCTTCATTTTCTATTATAGGCACCTCATTTAACCTCCCATGTTAGAACTCAAATGTTGGTGTATCTTAAACACAACATTTTTAAGGTACCATTTATTAATTTGAGAAAAGTCAGACAAACCTGTACCTGAAGTAGTATGACAAGTTGCTACAGAGGACCTCCATATCTGGAGTGAGGAACTGGGGATGCTGACTGAAATGCTGGGTCTGGTCTGAGCTGCCTGCATGTGTCTGACAGCAGTCTGCTTAATGTTTGAAATCCTTTATTTATAAAGGGGAATAAATACTTGATTTTTTAATTTGTTTGTTTGAAAAGAAACTTATTAAGCAAGTGACAATTGTAATCTAAACACTGTAATGAATGCATAAAGCTGTTTGCCAGTTTTGGAGGAGGGAAAACAAAAAATGAAACGATTTATTTTTTTGTTTGTTTTGGCAACTTGCTTATGGTGAAATTTGGATACAATATAGAAAAATGTCATCACCCTTTTGAGTGTTTTTTATTTTTCCTTTCCTCTAGGAAAAGCTCCAGGAGAGCCAATTAGCATTGTATATGTTCCATCTCATCTTTTTCACATGCTTTTTGAGCTCTTT